CCCCAAAACCCCAAAACCCCAAAACCCCAAAACCCCTGGGATAAAATAATATATTGAATTTTGGAAATTTTAGAAGGTATGGAAGATAGGAATGGATGCTTGAAGGGATTAGACTTAGGCTTAGAGATGGTGTTACATAAACCTTTCAAAATTTCCACTTAAAACACTAAAAACCCACCTTCCATAGACCCATGAGTGAACCCATGAAGAAAAGAATGAAAAAAGAAGAGGGCAAAGAAGAGATTTTAGAGAACACAGCTGGGATTTCAGGGAAGGAGAGAGCTAAGTTGCATAGAGAAAGGAAGAAGAAATATTATCAGAGTCTTGAGAAAGAGAATGCAGTCATGAAGGTAGAGATAAAAGAACTGAAGGAGAGACTTGAGGTGTATGAGAAAGAGACTTTGAGACCGAAGAGTAATTTTGTGATGATGGACTTGTAGGTATTCAGAATGATGACTTGGTTGATAGGATTAGTATGGTTTCGAGGCTGAGTCAGTCTGAGACAGCCAAGCTTGAGAAATTACATAAAGAAGACCAATATGCACTGAAGTCTCTGCCTAAAATGTACAGGAAGGATGAAAGTACTGTGAAATATTCTTCAATCGAGAATACTAAAGATACAAGAGGAGCTTTTGGAAGTGAGAGAGTGGAGTTGTTGAGAGAACTATTCAAAAGCTTTCTAGAAAATATTTTACCATATGAAAGTAAAGGAGCTATCTATCTCTTTGATCATATCCCAATGGCTCGAATTTTAAGAGCAATGAAACATGATCGAAACAAATTTGCTAACGGAGAGAGTAAGACTTTGCTATAATCTTTAATTTTAATAATCTTCCACACTTCAAAACATTTATCTTACTTAACCTTTAACAGAGATTACTGGCAACAAGATTGTGGATAAGATCTTGAACACAAAGATGTCTAAAAATCTTGCCCAATTTATGAAGAATCATGGAAAACGCTTGCAAAAATTGAACCATGAAATTCGTCGCTTGGTAAAATCTTTGGTGAAGGCCAGAAACAGATTATTTAACAGTCTTCAGACACTACATAATTTTAGAATAGACTTAAAAACTGCTGAGGAAATGTGCTTTGAGAAGGAAGACCAAATCAAAATATTTGAGATGTTCAGTGAGCTCGAGAGAGAAGGATGCTTTGACATCCATACTATCTGGCAACTCCAGAAACGGCAAGGAGAAGAATACCGTGATGAAGCTGAACTCTCAGAGTAAGACAAACAACATGGTCTGGCTTTAATATCTGAAGTTCAACTTTGTCAAAAATGATTGGGGTTTTGGGGTTTTGGGGTTTTGGGGTTTTGGGG